TTGCTAATGCGGATGACAATACTGTAAGTGTCCTTCTCGGATATGGAAATGGCTCTTTTGCAAATCAAATGATATATTCAACTGGCAAACGGCCATTCTCTGTAGCTATTGGTGACTTTAATAATGACACCCGACTAGATATTGTCGTTGCTAATTTTGGTGGCAACAATGTAAGTGTATTTTTGGGATATGGAAATGACTCTTTTGCAAATCAAATGATATATTCAACTGGCACTGGCCCGCAATCTGTAGCTATTGGTGACTTTAACAATGACACCAGATCGGATATCGCCGTTGCTAATTTTAATGACGGCACGGTAGGCATACTACTTCGGTATGACAGGGGAGCTCTGGAAGACAAAATCGCATTTGCATCTGGCGATGGTTCTCGTTTGCAAAACTTCGCCGTTTTTGATTTCAATAACGATTACCTATTGGATATCGCCGTTGTCAATTATGGTACTAATAACATAGGTATTCTTCTTGGCTATGGAAATGGTACTTTTGGAAATCAAATGGTACTCTCAGCAGGCTTCAATTCTCGTCCTTACTCAATCGCTATTCAGGATTTCAATAGAGACGGTCAAGCCGATATAGTTGTAGCCAATTATGATACTAAAAATCTTGTTACGTTTCTGGGAAGTGGAAATGGAACATTTGAAAATCAAGCAAGTTACAGTGTAAATTTCGATTACGCTCCATTGCTGATTGGTACTGGTAGTTTCAATAAAGATGAACATTCAGAAATTTTTGTCGTATATGATGGTATAGATCATATAGATGTGCTTGTCACATATAATCTCGGGTCTTTCGATCAGCAAATGACATATTCAACTGGCTTTTGGTCAAGATCTGTAGCTATTGGCGATTTTAATAACGACACGCTTCTGGATATCGTTGTCGCTAATCAGTACGACAAGAATATAAGTGTCCTTCTCGGCTATGGCAATGGTTCTTTTTCAAATCAAAGGACATATTCAACTGGCTCTTCTCCCTGGTCTGTAGTTGTTGGTGATTTTAATAACGACACCCATCTGGATATCGTTGTCGCTAATTCGGGTGACAACACTGTAAGTGTATTACTCGGATATGGAAATGGCTCTTTTGCAAATCAAACGACATATCCAACTGGCAGTTCCCCACGGTCTGTAGCTACTAGTGATTTTAACAATGACACCCATCTGGATATTGTCGTCGGTAATC